TTCGTGAACAGCGAAACGCTGAGATTGGGATATATCTTTACCACAATGGTTGCTGGCCTATCGAGCATCCGTGCATTCATCGACGGACAAAACACCGCATCTAAAGATGACGGGACGCGAGCTTCGCTTGCCCTTAGACACCCTGCTGCCGACCGCTCACCATGAACCCATGGTCGTGTATGACCACCTACTTCGAATGCAATCCAGTTTGCTAGGCGCACACCAATTGGCAGAGGCAAGTTTGAAAAGCTCACAGCGCAACAAAAATGAATACTTCCATCGAAGGCCATCAAAAGTCCGTTCAAGACAGGTGACACCATTTGACTCAAAGCATTAGTAATACCAGCAGGCGTCCTTGCAAAATTCCATCGCCACCGGGAAGGCCCACACTTCGTTGCGAACGTACTTTCTAACATAACGTATCGAATCATGAAGCGTGGCGCACCGGTTTCAACAGGCTGAAGCCAACCAAGAGCGTGGGTAGCGCTGAGGACAGCGCGTCTTAGGAAGGAAAATATCGTAATGGGTCCGCAACTATCGTATAACGCGCTGTTCGTACAACGCAATAAATTATTGCCTTATCGGGATATTAAAGCTACTCAAGTACCTGGATCAACAACGATGCCAACTATGGACGAACACTGACACACGCAATTGTTTATCTCTCTACTTCCCGGTCTTATTTCTGGCACTCTGACCTTGACTCTATCTCGTTGTTGTCTCTCCCTACGTGCTTGCCAGATGGCGATATGGTTGGCGGCATCCGGTTTCGGATTTGCCTGTCACTGTGGCCAGACACAGAACGCCTGCGCCTACAGAGGGACCATGGGTGGCTTGCGCTGCACCACCCACAGCTCCAACCCCACACCCCATATCCAGTGTAAACCCGAAGGAATAAGACCGGGAGACATGCGGATGGGAGCCGCGTTTCATCAACGGAGCCGGCCCACACTGCTTCACATACAAACACAAGCACGCTGTATCTGGGGAATCAAGCGCACACAATACAGCGGCTGAACCGTAGTCCGCTCCACACCGAGTGCATGGAACCACTCATCGAGCCTAGCGCGACCACGAGGAGCGTGCACCCGGTCCCTCCAGCAACGACCAATTGTCTCCTGGGGCCAGTATAGACGAGGTAATGGGTAATAGACAGGTAGGAACTTTGTCAACATGTACATCAAGTGCAGCACACCTAGGATGCCAAACAACAGCCAATCATTCGAAATGCCAACATCAAATAAAAGATATCGAATAAAGTAAACATAGATTACGACATAAATACTGGCTAAATGAGCATATGGAGGAAATTGGCTATAAGTGAATCCGTGATAAGCACAAAATGTCCGAAAGTTATTTAAGATACACCACGTGATAAAGTTAGGCAAATTTACCACGATTAGCATGAGTGACGTGTACAAATTAGGAGATTATCAGGTACGCAGAAGAAACCAAATAAAGTGGAATGAATTTTATGCACATTAAAAAGACCTAGTTTAAGTGTAAGCTGGTTTAGCTCAAATGCGGTGAAGAAGCATCATGAATGCAACAACAGCCTCAGCATGGGGCAAGCCAGATGGCGATATACATAACTTCATATTAATCATCATCATCAACAGCAGTACATCAGCCATTTGAACTGATGCTTCGCTGCCATACAACCATGAGGACCTATGAAATAGAGAATAAGAAGAGGGAGAGAAGAGGGACTTACCTGAAAACCTTAATGCCCTAAGCAAACATTCAGGGTCAAGGCGCCTACACCTTGTGTTAACAACATACCGTTACAAACAGCTGGCAATCGTGCAAAGATAAGGCGGCATCGGCGAGACAGCTTCCTTGCGGCTTTCACTGCCCCGCGTCATAATCAGCCATTATCCCGCAGATAACTCAGCACCAAACATACTTTAAACAGGCAATCCGATTAGAAAACGGCAGCAGACGCGCCACTGGTGTTGGTTGCGAGCCACGTCCTGCAAAGTCTCGAGCCAAGCATAAGGTGAGTCACGTGGACTCCAACCCGGAAGGCGAGACGGACCAACGGCACCCAGATTGGTTGTCAGTGACTTCATTTCCCGCTGCCAAGTCAACCTCATATTAACCCTGATCTCTTACCAAGTGGTTGTGATAAATTCATCAAGCGGCCTACGGAGTATTTGTTTTTCCTTCCAGCTCCATAGCTCTATTAAGACTACGTTGATGTACTGGACGCGGAGGAACTCGGAATCCTCGACGGGACGCAGACTACAGTTAGTACCGAGGTATTATATAAAATACCTTGACAGTCCACGGATTTAGCGAAGATCAGGTCCAAGAAGGACGGGTTACGTCCCAGCATGAACCTAGTGGGCCAATCAAGAAAACGGTGCAGGGAAGCATGCAAGGCTAGATCGAGAAGCTCAGCAGCAAAACATCTTGGAAAAGTATCGCAGGAAAAATTCTACCAGTCAACGTATTGAAGACAAAAACCTACCACCACTAAACACTTATTTCCCGAATGTTCATGGGTGAAATCAATGAGACCCGTAGCAACGCTAACGAGGCTTTCATAGGCCAGCACAAATCTAAGTTTCATGGATACGGTACACAGATAAACTGCGAGTGACTCAAAAGAACCGTCTGGTTAACGGAAATTAGACGTCTTGAATACAGTAAGACCAAAGTTGAAGTCTAGAGAAATGCCACTTCCACGACGATCGGAGGTGCAGTCACTTCTAAGTAATGGGTAGCCTAGTAAGCACACTTCACTGTCCGTGACGTCAATGGACAACCACGTTGCAGTGAATGCGAAAACATCTCGAAGGCGGTCGTCGAGAAGGGCGCGGACATCGCACAGCTTATTTTGCAGGATACGCACATTAGTGAGGAGAGCCTGAAGGAAGTCTGTTTCGAGAGTCTGGGATCAAGCACCACCAGAACCGCTTCCGGTAGGGCCGAAGTGGATTACTTTCTGATGTTTCAGCAGTTTACACGTGTTGTCATTACCCACATTGTCCTCTAGCTGTGCGACACATCTAGAAAAAGCACCAAAAATGGTGCATAACTATTACCCCAGCACTTTACACATGGCTCGCATTATCGCAAGCGGTTGTACGTGAATCGAGGTACATCGATTTCATTGATTTGCAGATGGAAGAACGGGTCCCACGTTAGTCCCGTCGTATCGAAGTCCGAGACCTCCGACCAAAGGTGTATGTCATCAGCATCAGGCATTCGGTTTGAAGCGTTTCGGGAAGGTCGTTGATGAACAACTTGAAAAGTTCAGGTCCCAGCATAGATGTTTGCGTGATCTCACTGGTCATTAGCATTGCCTGTTTCATTCACTCACATTTGCATGTTTCTGTTTCCCAAGAAGACGGCGATCCAAGAGTATAGGCGTCAACTGACACCAATTTCCCGGACCTCGTACAGCAATCGCTACTGTGGGACTATATCAAACGCCAAGTCAACGAAGATAACATCTAGCCGTTTACCGGCATCAATGGAACTTGACCATTTCCCCTCGTAACAAGTACATTAGTAGTGCGGCAGCGTCCTTTCAGAAAGCCGTGCTGTGTAGTGGAGGTGATGTCCAGATCGGAAAAATGCATCATGATTTTAGAGCTTATCGATGTCAGACAGATTGAGCGATAGTTCGCGGGGCCAAAAGGATTTCCATTTTTGTGCTTTGGCATCAGTAGTCCAAGTTTCCAGTCGACGGGCAGACGCCCAACTACTCGAAAGAGGAGAAAATCTGGCAGGTGGGTGTGACAATGTAATATGCCAGTCTTGAGAGAGGGGAAATGCAACACTTCAGAGTCAGGTGACGAGTAAGAATACATTTAATCAAAGAAAGCAGATGAGAGAAGCCTTGTCAGCTAAATCACATCCAAAATGGATTGAAGAAGGTGGGTGTTAGTGAGAAAAAGTGTTCAGAGTGAGGAAGCACAGTTACACGAATAACCACGATCCTGATATAATTAGATGGTAGAAATAAAAAAACTTCTTGGAACATTGCTCAGTGGGTGCGATGACCACAGCTTCTGGTAAATGAGGGCCTTCATTCCGCTCGACCAACTCTCCTCTTCTTCCATCCACACCCCCGGCGACCAAACGCACGTCGCGGGCGCCGATGGGCTTGCATGCGCAACACGTGGCCCAGCAATCAGAGCCTGGTGCGTGAAATAAGGTAGAGCGGTTCAGTTCCTCTTCCTGTGCCATAAACAAGGCGTCGAAGACGCTTGTTGCTCACGCGCTGTTCCCACCGGATGTGAGCCAAAGTGTGAAGGCACCGGTGGTCGAACGTAACTAGCCTCTTTATGTCCGCGGACCAGGAGATCTGTTTTCTCGCCGTCTTCGTATAGAACGGAATCTGTTGTACTGGATAACAAAGCGGTTATACTACAGACGACTTTGGTCCTTTTTTAATATAAGCGAAGATTTATGTACATCTGGACACAGACTGTTCTGTCAAACTGCTCATACTGTCCCCTCTTCCGCGTTTTCGTAGTACATAAGTTCCTGAGCCTCTGGCAGCCGGGGGCCACTTTAGCCGATTGGAAATTGTTCATAATTGCTTTCGATGGTTGGTTAGAAGCCGTATTTCCTGATCAATCCAATGAGGAGCTCTCGCGTGGGATTTTTCTTGTGTTAGAGACCACTTGTTCGATGAGCCGGTTCATTTTGGAGCACAAGTGTCCAAGCACTATATAGAACAAGATTTTGTGGGGTATTCCAGTTCACGATGCTGGACGCCTCTCTTGGGCAGATAGGATTAATACGCCAGCAGTTTCGGTGGTAATGAAAAAGCACCAATGCAAAAACGCTAAACTTCTAAAACAAAGGACGCGGAAAGCTGGTCAGATGCTTAAACCATTACATAGTGGAAAATGTAATAATTAAGAAGTAAGGAGCAGTAAGATTAGGCGGAGTAAAAAATTACCCGACTAGAGTGATGTCACACGGAGCAGCTTAATCAAAGTTAGACGTGACACTCCGGCCGAAAGCGAAGGAGTGCTTACCTTATACGTGCGCCGCCATCCTCGAGAGGCATCTACATGAAGCCTATTCCAAAGAGTGCACATAACTTCGAGATAGGTGCCGTGAGAGAACGTTAGGTCGGCTATCTGCATCATTAGCTGTCCATGTGGCCCCCAAGGCTCGTCACTTGTAGCCTCCCGAACTTTAGTTTCTGCCTCAGTGTAATTCATAACCATGTTAGTCCTATTCAACCGAAGTAAGACATGTAGCAACTTACAGTTTATCAGCAAAATCCCTACCTTTATTAATAAGATCTCGAAACATTGCTCGGTGCAAATGTGAAATGATCCTTGAGAATACTGTATGCTAATAATAAGGGCGTCGACTCATCGGCCAATCCGCCGATTCAATCAGTTTCAGATTCAATCTGAACCGGCAGGAAAAGAACCAACACCGAATACCAGCAGCACACGCGACAAGGACCTTACTCAAGGTCGAGTACAAGCTCCAGTTTGACTGAAGCAATAGGGCAAAACTTGGTGGTGTTCTGGTCAGTTTATAAGGACGAAAATTGGCTTCCACCTAATCAGTGTCCTGTATCTTGCACCCAAATGCAAACCAGCGCCGTCAGTACTTCGACTTCTGAGTTGTCTTCCTTGCCAATGCAAAGGAAATGAAGCAAGACAATAGCAACCTTTGTACTCGCTTGGATCATAGGCCTAAGGGCCTATTACAATTGCTAATAACTTACGATAATTCAGGAAAGGATCCGGCCAACGCTTATCCAGGCCAAGTTGTTATACCCGTTTTACACCCGGTTTTGCCTTTT